ATGTCCAAACCATCTCAGTCTGGCCTCTCTAACTTTATCTCCCAGTTGTTCAACCTGTGCTGTACCTCTGATGATCTCATTCCTGATCTTATCCATCCTTGTCACTCCTAAGGAGAACCTCAACATCTTCATTTCTGCCACTTCCAGTTCTTCTGTCTTTTTGTCAATGCCACCGCCTCCAAACCATACAACATAGCTGGATTCATTGCTCTCTTTGAAACCTTTCCTTTGACATTTCCTGAGTTTCACTCCTGAAATGTTTCTCTATCTCCAATGTTTGTAAAACAAACAAACAAATAAACAAACCATATCAGCACAAACATCTCACTCCAACTGTCTAGCACAGGGTTAGACGACTGAAAGTCTGGGCGCCTTGCAGTCACGGAGTTGACCATGAACTTAGCTGCAGATCAAAGTATTCAGAGTCAAATGTGAGGTCACTGCCTGACAGCTTAAAGCTTGGACCAGACTGAGTCATGATGCAACAGAACATAAATTCCAAACACAGCAGCAGATCTAGAACAGAATGACTCAGTCAAGGTGCTGAAACTGTCAAAGTTCGGAATCTCAGCTTGCTTAAAACGCTGTGGTGGGACCTTAAAAGAGCTGTTCAGAAACAAATGTCTGCAAGCTTCAACAAGCTGAAGAAACATTGTAAAGAGTGAACCAAAAGCCGGACAGAAAAGGCTTAATCAAAGTTGTTGCTAAAGGTGGATCTACAAGCTAATTAACGGCGCTGGATTTCATTTTTCACACATTTCTGTTTTTGCTTCATTTGTTATTTAGTAATTGAAACGATTGAGTCTGTTGTGTGTTTTTGTACGAATTTGCACAAAGCTGTCACCTTGTCTACCAAAAGCAAGACACGGTTAGATCTGAACAATTTTAGATCTTGGTAAAGATCAAATAAATGTTATTATGTCTGCTTCATAAAACCCAAGGATAGGAAGAGGGTGGCCTTTGTTTTTCCTCAGGATTGTATGTTTTAGACACAGCTTCTGTCTCAAACGTTACAATTTTACTGTTTCTGTGGTCAGTTCTGCAAAAGTATCAGGTCTCCACCTCTGACGTTCTTCCCATTGCCATGCAACCTTGTGTGGTATTTTTTTCTGGCTGCTGTCTAGCCTCACACTTATTATCTAGTGGACCTCTCGTGGCTCGTAAATTCCACTTTACAATCTTTCCCCCTTCTTGATTGTCCTGTCAGCTATTTCCTTAACATGATGACCCTCATCAGATGCCCTGTATGGTTTGGAAAATCAGATTTTACACTCCAATTTGACCTTTCACACTTGTTCCCAATTTGTAATGCACGGACCTTGTTCAGTTAACTCTTGTTTGATTTGATTTGAACTCTACCATTCAGATTAATGAAACACATAGAACTTTGATACTACAAATAAAAATAATGACCTAGTTTAAGGGAGAGATCAGTTATCCATTCTGCGCATCAACAGTATGCATCTTGGCTGCAGTCGATGGCCGTTTGAACAATTTCCTTTTTGAAGAATCAGGGAAAACGTTCTTATTGTGACCCCATAGAACACTAGAAATGGAAAAAATGGGCATAAATGTCTGTGTTCTTTCTACATGATCCAAAAAAACTCCTCAAAAAGCTGGTATTTGGTACTTACAAGTGCCAAATACCTGCACAAATTCTGTTTTGAAACAACCAATAAAACTTCTTTATAGGTACATAACCTCAACTAAAATCATATTTTATCATTTAAAAGCTATGAAATGTCACAAAGGTAGAAAGGAGAATTTAGTGTCTTCCCAGTTTCCCAGTCTCTGTGAATAGCAAGCGGCCATCAGGGCATTAACGATTGGCTGTCAGAGAGTGAATGGTTGTTTGTTTCTATGTGACCCTGTAATGAACTTGCGACCTGTCCAGGGTGTCCCCCGCCTCTCACACAGTGACTGCTGGATATGGGCACTAGTGACCTCTGCAACCCGGAAAGGAAGCGGGGAAGACAATGGATGGATGGATGGATGGTTGGTTAATACATCCTCCACTGAGACCTGAGATGCCCTTTAAATAAGGGAAGCGGCATGCCGTTGTGTATTATTTATGGTTGCAATTACACAGCAATAATAGAGACTGCTATGTTTTTGTTTTGACTAAAACTTTGCTACAAAAGAACATCTCTGACTCAACAATAAAGCTGGATAGCCAAACATCCTTCTGTACAAACAAAAATGCTGAAAGCTCCAGTAACATCCAACGAGGTGAACTTTGTGTGACATCAACAACAAGAGGTGGAGCAAAAGTGTAAATATTACAAGTCGCTGGTAACAACGGAGGGTTACAAAGTACCGTCTGAAGAACTCAGATCACATTTCTGTTCTACTTTATCCAAAGCAGATAATACCGAGACGCAGAAAGGCTATGAAACCACAGATTCAAGTCTGGCAAACGGATACAATATGTACGGACTATCTTGCAACTTATGATTACAGCAATATTAGCTAAATTGTCACACAACGATCTGAATACTCTGGCTCTGTTATGATCTACATGATGGTCATTAATTCAAAAAGCGTTCAATACGAAAATGATTGTCAATGATGGTCATTAACACATACACGACTCAGGAAAACCAGAAATTATAAGTAAAGTGCTATGTGTTATCACTATATTTTCCCATACAATAGCTAAATTAGTTAGCATTTAACCCATCACATGTGAGATACACTCAGGTGGAGCAGTGGGCAGCTATGTAAGTGCCCAGAGAGCAATTAGGGATTAGGTATCTTGCACAGGGACACCACAACATGTGGGAATGGCTGGGAGTCAAACTGCAACTTTCTGGTCCCAGGTCGGCTGGCCTACCTCTACCCCATCTTGCCCCCCTAATTATGGATGAAATCAGAGGATTTGATGAGGATGCAGCCTTCAGATCAGGGGACAAAGTAGCTCATGCGTCAGCATGAACCAACTTCTTCTGAGACTGCAATACGCAGGAGGAAAAAAGATTTACTAATTCTGTCATTCTAAATACAAAAATCCCATTAATAATTGCTCTCGCATATAGCTGACTATTGAATCCATGCAACACAAACCCAAATCATGATCAGCCCATTGCTATGCTTAACCAATGGAGAGGTTTGCCTTTTGTGCGCGTTGTTACCTACAGGTTGATTTTGAACGTCACCAGGCAGGTGCTTATTGGAGCATTTTAGACCTTGTTTTTCCTCAAATGCAGACTTTTTTTTTAAATTAAAAACACAACTGGCAAACTTTTTCAGCTGAGCTTGTACCTGAAAGACACACAGACTCACCTGAATATTGAGGCTTCGCAGCACGGCATTTATGCTGAGCAGGTTTCTTATGGCGTTGTCTATGTGGCTGGTCAGCTCTGCGTCCGTCATCGATGTCTGTAGTAAGCTGAAGGCCTGTTGTAAAAGCCACAAGCCCGTCTGAACTTCCTGAGCTTGCTCCAAAGCCTTTCCAAAAGATAAACAGAGGCAGAGCGTTGGAAGTGATAAGCATCAAAGGATGTAGGAAGTAATCAGCTCTTCCGTTAGAAATTAACTGGAGTCACTGGTCCAAAAAAAAAAAAAAAAAAACTCGGGCAATGGCAATGATATCTAGAAATTCCTAAAAAGTAATGCATGCAAATAAGACAAACTTCTACAGACTTCCACAACACCATTTAGTTGATCTAAGCTCTACAGATGATTTCAGCAACTTACAGTTTTCTTCTCCCAGTCATCAAAGTTGACAGTGGTTTGGGGTACAGAGACAGACGACAGGTCACATCCTTCCCTGCATGACTTCTAAAGAAAAATAACGATGACAGTATTCAGAGCTAACATATTTAACTGCATCCCAACAACTAACGAGGATTATCCAAGGGTCACGATGACTGCAACACTCTTCCCATGCATTTAGTCTGGTTCTTCTTGCATACATTTTTCTCTCACCATAGCGACTTCTGCGTCTCGTGCTTCCTGGATGAAATGGTTCAGGACCCTCAGGTCACAGATGGGCCTCAGTGGGGATAGTAGGCCTGGACGAGTCCACTCCAACACTATCAACAGCAAGGCAAACAGTCCTGCACACAGACACACAAGCACAGGAACTCAACAACAGTAAAAAGAGGAATAAAATAAATAAAATAAATCAGCAGACATGGAAGAAAGTCTCACTTGAACTGCATGTGTTACTTGTAATATAACTCATGATTACAATGAGACATATTGTTTGGATGCGCAGTGTGTTATGACACTGAAATGGAATCAGTTTATGACCTTGAATCTCCTCTACTGGCACTCGGCTCACTGACAAAGGTGATGACTGTTGAGGTTATTATTTAGAAACTAAAGAAATATAAAATGACCATCAATCATCCTCAGTCTGGAGATTCATGCAAGACTTTGCCTCAAAGTGTGAGAATAATGGAGAAAACTGAGGAGTCAGCCCAGAACTACACAGGAAGAGCTAGTCCGTAATATGGAAGCCAACAGAACAAGTCACCAAAATCACCACTGGTGACACTACATCATTATAGACCTACACTTTCCAGCACCCACCAAGTCCACCAGGTGAAGAAGGCACAATAACAGGCATGTCTACATTTTGTAAGTGGACATACATAAATTCTGAGACGGTTTGAGGAAAAGTTCTATGGTCAAGTGAAATTAAAATTGACTGGTACACATCTGGTTGGCAGGCCACAGACTGATGAAGTATTCCAAAAGGAAGACGAAACGTTTCTTCCTCAAAGAAACTGGTCCAGATTAAATGATTTAACCTTCTGTTGTTATCTACCTGGATGATTGAGCCTACAAACCTTTTTCTACATCTTTGGCATAAAATCAAACCACCATGTTTGGAGGAAGAGAAATCCTGAGTATGACCCATAGAACATCTCCATGGTCAAGCACAAAAGGGGAAACGTATTGAAGCTGTTTTTCAGCTAAGGGTGTTGGTCAAATTCACCGCATTGAGGGGCCAATGAACCAGGCTTTAAGATGTCAAGAAGCAGCTTAGAAACCTTAATGGATTTAAACAGTTTCTGTAAAGAGTAGTGAGACAAAATCATCCTGAGCTGTGTGCAAACCTGCAAGACCAACGACAGGAACAATCTTACTGCTGTGTCTGCCAACAAAGCTTTCTCCACAAAGTGCAAGGTCATGTTTCACTTGAAGAATGAATACTTATTCCATTCAATGATTTGCTAACATCAAGTTTGATATATGATGTGATAGCGCAGTTTGGCAGAGCTGTTGCCTTTCGATGAGAAGTTCGCCCCGGTTCAAGTCCTGGCCGGGACCCTTTCTGGGTGGAATTTGCATGTTCTCTTCGTGCATACGTGGGTTTTCCCTGGACACTTCAGTTTCCTCTCACAGACCAAAAACATGCATGTTAGGCTGATTGGTAACTCTAAATCGATAGATTAAGTGGTTGTTTATCTCTTTTTTTCTCTCTGTGTTCCTGTAATGGACTGGAGACCTGTCCAGGGGTGTACCCTGCCTCTTATACAGTGACTGCTGGATATGGGAACCAGTGACCCCCACGACCCGAGAAAGGGATATGTGGGTAAAAGCTAATGGATGGATGAATGGATGCCTTTCTCCATTTCAAAGAAACTACCATAAGAAATCATATGGTAATCTTATGGAATCTCATGGTGAGAAAGCTTACAAAATCAATGGGGTCAAATAAGTATTTCCCTACTGTAAATAACTAAATTAAAGTATTTGCCTGAAAGAACTAAACTATGTGCATGTTTCTGTAGATAGTATTCCTATAGCGCCCCATCAATATTTCCCTTAGCGTGTTTGCGACTCAAAGATCAGTATTTCACAAGTAGTTTTGTAGCCGTCAGACCCCCCCCCCCCCCCAACACACACACACATAAATGTATACACTGCATTCCCAGGTGGGGATTTTTGAGTTTGTAACATGTAAAGTCAGCATGAAGGAATGATTCAGCATGATAAAGCAGTTTCCTTTTAAAAGAACCACGCAATCTCTTTGATTATGAGCAGAATACCATGACGGCGCAGGAAAGACCTTGTTTGAATCTCGACTTCCACAGGGACATTAGTCTACCTTGTTTAGAAAGACAACCATCACTTCAAGCCTTATCTTAAAGATGGAAGATACTTGTAACATCCTCTGAAGTCTTTGAGCCTTCTGCCTGGAGTATCACTGGACAGAGGTTTTACTCTGGGTCATGTGGGCCCACAGCCTCGCTCCACGCTGCCACATGCTGAATGCGCTCTTTCACAGCAGCCTGTCTGCGTGACGCTAAAAGCACGAGAAAAGGTCCAGATGACAAAGCAGCAGATACAGGTCAACTAAAAGTCGCAGACTCTGGAATAGCTTTCCCCAAAAGAAATGATCCTAAAAATTACATTCTTGTTGCAGGTTTGCTATCACAAGAAGAAAATTACTACAGATCCTGTAGGGGTCAAAGGTATAATCAGCTTAACCTCCGTGCCCCCCTCTTGCAATGCCAGTGTCATGGAGGAGCTTGTAGGTGACTCATTGACTTTTGTTTATGGAACAGCGCATGTGACTTACGCAATGTTTCACGGACCTTTACCGTAATGATTTATGCACATAGCTTTAACGCTGAAGTAATCAACAACTATATAACCATTTATAAGTCACTGTGCATTATTACTACTACTATTTCAGTCAAATTGTTCCCCTGAACTCTTTCAATCCTTGTGTTCTTGCAATGTAGGGCAAATAAGAAAGAAATACACTCCCGGTGTGAACCCACTAATGATTTGACCAGGTCGAACAGATTCACTGACGCACACATTGGATCTATTGAAATATTATATGATGAGTCTGTTAGAAGGTCTCAATTGTCTCTTCTTTCGTTGGGTTTTGCTGCTCGTGTACAGGCGTGGCTACATTTGTCAGTACCATTCTACAATAATAATAATAAAACACAAAACCCAACTGATGTGACTGGAGCCAAAAAGCTCCAGTTTTATCTTATCAGTCTGATAAATTTCTTCCAGACACTTTGGGGCTTGTCAACATGCATTTTGGAGAAATCTTGTCTGACTTTTTCATTTTATTTTCTACCAACAGTGGAGCCTCCTGGGTCTTCATCCATAAAATCTATCATGATTTATAATGTGATGGATGGTGCAATCAGAAAGTGATATACCTTGGCCTTAAAGTTCACCTTGAAATATTTTGTTCGGTTTCTTTGGCTCTTTATTTACCATCTGCATTATTCATCTGATCAGCCTGGGGTTGCATTTTCTCTTGCATCCACAACCTGCGTGGTTGGCTACAGTCCGATGAACCTTATACTTTTAAATAATATTGGCAGCTGTGGTCAGAGGAACGTAAGGCTGCTTGGAGAGGAGCTTGCAGCCTTTTGTTT